AAGCTTATGAGACTCTGTCATACATTCTTGCCACACTATAGAACAGTCTCCTCTAGATATTTCAATCGTTCCTGATGAGAAATTTTAGGAAATGCTCCTGTGGGACATGGTGGCATATGCCTTTAATCCCAGCACTCTGGAGTCAAAGGCAGGCAGATCTCTGTGAGTTCAATGGTCTACATAGCAATTTCCAGGCTAGCTGGGGCTCCAGGGAGGCACTGTCTCAAAAAAAAAAAAAGGAAAAGAAGGAAGGAGGGAGGGGAGGGAGGAAAGAAGGAAGGAGGAAGGAGGGAAGGATGAGGAAGGAAGAAAGGAGGAAGGGAGGAGGAAGGAAGGAAGGAAGGAAGGAAGGAAGGAAGGAGGAAGGAAGAGAGGAGGAAGGAGGGAGGAAGGAAGGAAGGAGGAAGGAAGAGGGAAGGAAGAAAGGAGGAAGGAAGGAGGCAGGGAGGAGGAAGGAAAGAAAAGGAAAGGGAGGAAGGAAGGAGGAAGAAGGAAGGAAGGAAGGAAGGAAGGAAGGAAGGAAGGAAGGAAGGAAATGGTTCTCCTGCCATGCCTAGAATCAACTTGCTACATATTCTGGTATAGATTCACAGTACATTTTTCTACTAGAAAGAGCTGCATATAGCTGTGTCCACTTAGAAATCATGCACAATTAGGATGAAGACAACTTAGAAAGACCATACTCTGGGAGGGAAATATTGCTCATCATCATATAACCTTCCAAAAGAAGGTTTCAAAGGAACCCAGGTAGGCAAACTAACTGGGGTGGTTTAAATGAGAATTGCCCCCATTGGCTCAAGTACATTTGAACACTTGTTTGGCTGCTAGGCTACTTGGGATATTTATGGAACCTCTGGAAGGAGTGGCCTAATTGGAGGAGGCACAACACTGTGGGCAGGTCATGAAAGTCCATAGCCTAGTCCCACTTCCAGATTGCTCTGCTTCCTGCACCTGCTTAAAGATGTGAGCTGTCAGTTGCCTCCTGCCATGCCACCCCTGACATGATAGACCCTTAAACCTCCAGAACTACAAGCCCAAGTAAGCTCTTCCTTCTATAAGTTGCTTGATCGTAGTGTTTTATCACCACAACAGAACAGTAACCAATACACAAGCCTTTTCCAGATTAAATCTTCTTTGGCTGTTTATTTGTTTTCTTTTTTATGATGCTGAGAGCTTGAAGCCAGGACCTTGCACAACATGTTCCATTGAACCACATCCATCACCGCTCTTGTGTTCTTTTAATGCAAGCTTGTTGCATATGAGAAGACTAAGACACCAAAATGACTTGGTATTTTATGTCAAACACTGCGCACAGTAATCAAGAGCTATTCTTTGCACAGTCTGAAGCTTTGTCAGATAGATGTAGGACTTGGTTCTCTGACCTTAGCTACATGGGGTGCTCCTTATATAAGTACACTAATCACTAATTCACACAATTATTTCACAAACATTGTTGAATGCTTCCTGTGCCCTGAGATAAAGCACACCAACATGTAGTTTTGTCTCTCTAGTCTTGCATAATTGTTCATCAATGGACACCCTACCTGTTGATTAATAACACAATTTGACTGGGATTATGATGGGTGGATATGTAAGTCACAAAGGTATCTGGTGTAAGAATGATGTGCCCAGCTCTGGAAGTGGAGTTGGAGATTGTCAGGGAAACTTGTCATCTGGTAGGTTAGTAGAATAAGTACGCTATGGCTTAGTACACCAACACTCTTACATTAATTTTGTTTAAAGAGTAGGCCAGAGGACTCTTGTTCCCCAAGATGCCTCTTAGAACCATGTGTCTCCAGAGTCAGGCCTCACTCACATTTTTATTACAACCCCTTTTTCTAGCTTCCCTGCTGAAGTATAAGTTTGGATCCTCCCTTGTCTTAACATACCCTCCTGCCTTTCCAGCCCTAGGTCTAGAGCATATCATTCACCCAATCTCAAACTTCCTTCCCAGTCTGCACTGTGTTCAGTGAAGGTGAGCCAGCTGTATTTCTGGGCTTTGATATGTTAATTCTCAAGCATACCCACATTCATTACCTTTTTAGGTGGAATACCCATTTGAGGCTCCCAGGAAACCACCCCTTCCTTTGGTCATAAGATACTAAGTTCATTGAGTTTTCCAAGGTTAATTAAAAGTCAGTCCAGATTCTATTTTATAAAAGTCACTCCTACAGATCTCAGGTGAGACTTCATAATTGTTATTACATCAGAAGCTCCAGACTCGATGAGCTCCACATCACTGTGTGCAGCAGGTTTCCGGTTAGCTCTGTGTTAAGGGATGTGCTGCCATATCTAAGTTGCTACGCTCCCAAAAGGATTTTTACAGGATATATCAATGTCACATTAGTTCCTGAGCTTAAAACTTGGATGGAGTCTTAGAATCTTGAGGCCTTTGGCAAAGGACATGAAGTAGTAAGCAATTTTAAATTAGTGCCTATATTAAATTCCCCCTTAGCCTAGTCTACAAACCACAGGTTCCTGTGTGGAAGCTGGATTTCATCTACAGTACTCAATAATTAAATTATTGTTTTGTTTAAAATACTCTCTTACTACTACTTTTCAGCCACATGATACTAGAAAGATTGCCAATTCATTTGAGACAGGCAGCCTGGTGTTCATTAAAGTCATCCATTCTGTAGTTTTGCAAATTCCTTGCATAGCTACCTTGCCAGACCTATGAAAATTTTCACATGTAGCTCCCAGAGGAACAGTACGATAAAAATCATTTCTTCTCCTAGTGTTCCAGCATCCTAAATTCCCCATCTTTCCTGTCCTTCAAATGCTATTTCTAACACCACACCAGCCACAAAGCCATCACATGATTTTCTTGTGATGTAAGTAGTCAGGTTTGGGGATATTTATGGATAAGATCACAGTCATCTTTACTGATGTTTCTACGACTTCACTTAGCAAAATACTTCATTGTTCATTGACCAAAAAGAGACAGATCTGTGTTTGGATAGACAACAAATAAGCAAACACAGATACACAGATGTCGGCAGACAGTGAAATGTAATCAATGAAGGAGGCTGTCTGAGACTTGGGGTTTGTAATGGATAACCTTGGTTGTCAACCTGACACATCTGGAAAGAGGCAACCTCAACTAAGAATTTTCTCTTTTAGATTGACCTGTGGGCATTTCTGGAGGCCATTTTCTTGATTGCTAATTGATGTAGGCAGGCCCAGGCCACTGTGGGCACTGCCATCCCTAGACAGGTGGGCCTAGGAGCAAGTCAGTAAGCAACATCTCTCTGTTTCTGCTTTGAGCTCCTTCCCTGGCCTCCCTTGATGATGGACTGTAACCTGTAAGCTAAAATAAATCCTTTCCTCCCCAAGTTGCTTTTGGTCATTTTTTTTAAAATCATAACAACAAAAAGCAAACTAGACTTTGAGGCCTATAATAATTTGGTCAGAGGGACATAAAGGACAGTTTTTGCTCCTTGA